ACCTCCAGCCAACATCATCTATCCATCATCCATTCAACATCCATCATTCATCCATCCATCATCCATCCATCATCCCTCTTTCCATCCATCATCCATTCAACATCCATCCACCATCCATTCAACATCGAGCCAACATCATCTATCCATCATCCATTCAACATCCCTCCTTCCACCATCCATCATCCATAAATCATCAATCCATCCACCATTCATCCATGGATGGATGGTGGATGGATGGTAAATGGATGATAGATGGTGTATTTCATCCAACCTTTATTTCTGCAGGTTAATCCCACTGAGCCTCGAGGACTCATTTACAGAGAGACCTGATTTAAACAAAGGATGACAACAATGGACAGTTGTAAAAAGGCTTACAGATTTTTATTTTTATTTACAAATAAAATGCCAAAAAAAGTGCTCGAGTACCTGACCACTGAGATCCTGGAACTAGCAGGAAACACGGATCATGACAGCAGAAGGACAGGATCGTCCCTCAGCACCTACAGTTGGCTGTCCGCAGCGACGAGGAGCTCGGCAGACTGCTGGGAGGAGTGGCCATCGCTCTGGGAGGAGTTCTGCACAGCATTCGGGCGGTCCTACAGCCCGGGGGAACTGAGAGGTCAGCCGAGTCTGGGTGGACGGATCAGACGGCATCTGCAGCCAGTTTCTTAGGATCCACTGTGGGATGGACCTTTACAAGAGATCCTTCCTGTCTACAGCATCAGCATCTATAACATCTCTGAATGAAATGAGGACGAGTTACAACAACAAATAATTTCCCTCTGGGATTAATAAAGTATTTTTGAATTGAATTGAAATGAATTGAACTGAATTGAACTGCATGATGAGCTGAAGCTGCTGAAGTTTAGGCCTGAAAACATCTGAAACATCACACGTTCCAGGAGAAGCACGAGACGACTCTGGTGGGACGAGCTGCATCTCCAGCTTGTTCAGTGTGACTGAGGTGGGACTTGAACTCACGTCTCCACTGATCCACTGCGCCACTCCTTCACTGAACACACTGCACCATCTAAACCAAGAATTATTACGTAATTTCACATCTGAATCATTTGATTGACACAATGAGTTTAATATTGTTAAAAAGAGACTTCGTCTTTACCCTCTTCTTCCTCATCGGGTCACGAGGATCCAGAGAACCCATCCATCCATCCATCATCCATCCATCATGGAACCATCCATCATCGAATCATCCATCATCGAATCATCCATCCATCCAGCATTCATCATGTGGGATAATTAATAAATATGTAAATGAACAAATAATCAGACAATTGTTAATAATGTTTAATTCAGTTTATTTCTTCAGCTCCAAGTCACAACAGAAGTCTTCTCAGGGACTGAACAGAAACATTCATCTATAAAATAATAATTTAACAGAAACATTCAAATATAAAATAATAATTTAACAGAAACATTCATCTATAAAATAATAATTGAACAGAAACATTCATCTATAAAATAATAATTGAACAGAAACATTCAAATATAAAATAATAATTTAACAGAAACATTCAAATATAAAATAATAATTTAACAGAAACATTAATCTATAAAATAATAATTTATCAGAAACATTCATCTATAAAATAATA